TAATAGTTCTAATTAGTTGTTGTTATAGGCCTCGATGTCGATAGGACACGTTTGGCGCTGACGCGCCGTCTGAAATGGAATTATCCTCGCTAATGAACCTAAGCCGAGTCAGTGACTCAGGACGAGGGAATGGTGTCTAGAAAACAGGAAGAAGACGTGTGGGTGTCGCGCTGATGTGCAGACGCTGTGGGTGTGGATATGAGCAAGGGCTAAATGGGCTGGATATTATGGGTGGGTTCATGTAAAAGATATCAAGGCTGCATTGCTACACACAGCGAGACAGTGGCTCGTTACATGCCGCCGCGTGAGCTCTAATACCTGCTGGATTCCAGCCGCTAATTTAGCCGCACGCCACTTAGCGTTCGTTTGATATGAATCACGGGGGGGGCTGCTTGGAGCCTCGCCTCCCTCCCCGCCTCGTGACCTTACCACTCTCACTTCCTTGAAGAGCAGGTCGTTAAACAGCCGAGAGGATCCGTGAGCGCTTATAATGGGGAAATAATGAACGCCGTTGCCCCAGGTATTTATCACAGCAGTAGCTCTCAAAGCTGAGGCCGTTTTAATTTCTAAATGGCGAGGTTGGGGTGGGGGTCTGGAGTAGGCGGCTGGAAAATTCACTGCTGAGTTTGAGAGGCAGGGCGGCCTCTCGCTGAAAGCAGATGTTCGCAAACAGGTTGAAGTGAACTAAACGTTTCTCCTGTAGGTTGGATTGGACAAAAGCAACGCAAGTCAAATCTTTGCTAAGCATTTTGCACATCTCCATTTGGAGATCTTGCGGTTTTGAATGCTCTCCTGCTAACAACTTTCTGAGATGTAGATCATTGCTGGTCTTTAGCTCGACCCAAGGCCACGATATTCTGAAGGATCTCTGATTTTGACTTAAGTTATATGAGGAAACATCTCAAGCTGCCTCTCGACACCGGCAATGATCAGCAGCATCTCAAGGAGTCAACAAGATTTTTTAGTTATACAGACCTGAAAACCATTCAGGATTTGTTACTGCCAATTAGAACTAGATGGATCGCAGATGTCCTCAAGGTTCACAGGTCTGCAAATCTTCAGAAACAATGTAGTCCCATTGATAACACAATTTAATGCTTTTCCAACCATAAGAGATCTACAGGTCATGACAGAAATTCCTTAGCAATTGTCAATTTGGGTTGATATCCATCCATCCATCCATCCATTTTCCATCCATCCATCCATTTTCGTAACCACTTATTCCCTAATGGGGTCGTTGGGGGACTGGAGCCTAACCCAGTAGTCAATGGGCACACCCTGGACGGTCCGCCAGTCCATCGCAGGGCCACACAGAGACACACAAGGACCAACAACCAGTCACTCCTAAGGGCAATTTGGAATGTCCAATCAACCTAAAATACAGGTTTTTGGACCGTTAGACACAGAGAGAACATTCAAACTCCATACAGAAAGGTCCTGGCTCCCCCGGGGACCCAGAACCCAGAACACTCTTGCTGTGAGGAGACGGTGCTAACCACCACACCACTGTGCTGCCCAATTTAGGTTAACATTCAAAAACAATCAATTTGGGCCAAACTGTGTCAGAAAGATTAGCATTACGTCAGCATTACATTTACAAACGCATAAACAGAGGCGGTCACACATGAAACACTGAACTCTTGCTGACACATGAGATCGGTGTCGTATCCTGGTATTGACACAGTCCTTGTGGTGTGTCTGGTGTCCCACCGCTGGCTGCAGGGCTCGGAGGGTGAGGCCCTCTGGCTCAGACCGGCTGGCTCGAGACCTCGCCGGTCCCTCGGTGGCTTGCGTCCCCTTCAGACGTCAGCGGAGGGCGGCCTCACCACTTCTCCTTTACAGCCTGCTTTCATGTGCCCTTTAATGAGGAAACCGCCGGCTCAGCAGCTTGCTATAAAACACAAGCAAATTAAAACACCCGAATATGAATCAGCTACGCTGCTTAATTCGGCGGGCCAAGCCAGAGGCGTAGTTCTATTTTAGAGAGGCCTCAAGGAAGAGCAGGATCCACTGTCTGCGAGGGCACGGTCACATGACCTGAGAAGTCATTGCACTGGGGTCACAGTCGCCTCTCGATTGGGGCCGAGTATCTCCCATCTTTTACAATCAAATGAAGATAATCTTCAAAGCACGCAGCTGATGCGAAGTGCACAACATCTCAAAGAACAATAACAGAGTGAGTCATGAGCCCACAACATAACTCCTGCCACCAACGGCTCGCCACAGTCTGGTACAACTGCGACTGCCACTTAGACAACAGCAGCTCCATAAAACGTCGAAGAAACACAAACTGGAGAGCGCGAAATAAAACGAAAACCGCATTTGTTTTTTTCCCTCTCATTTCATTGTAATAATGGAAATAAGGGCATCATTCTGAGATTAGTGCTGCTATTTCTCCCCCATCTGACATTAAGCTTTATGTGAGTGCCTGTTGAGGAGTTTTTAAGAGACAATGGAACAACAACCCACTGAGGAGAAGGATGGCTGGGTCATCAAGAGAAACTTCAAGCTGCACAAACGCAGGGGAAATGTCGTCTGAAATGAGGATGCAGACTACCATGGAGAGCACATATCAGTCAAAGGGAGAAAATTTGAAAAACCAATATGTGGCATTGACCATTAATCAAGTTTATTTATTCGTGACAGTATTACAGAGGTGGACTGTGACAGCCTGGTCACCGCTTGAGTTCCAGAGGGAATCAATCCAACATGGCTGGACACGTGCGTTTCCATGATATCTGAGAGATTTTGAATCCATCCTCGATCCTCGAATAATGGATCCATATGTGGTTCATAACATGGAGCCAGAGCAGGTAAAACTGTTGGGCCACGTGAATTGTTTGTGCCTCAGTTTTCAGAATTCCCAGTTAATAACCCGTCTTGACTCTGATGATCACGACGCACTTTATTTGGACGGGCCTTTAAAAACACTGAAGGAAACAAAAACATTAAGATTAATAATGGCACAGCTAAAGTTGGTGTTTTAGTACCCAAAAGTGTATGAATATGGCTCAGAGTCTAGAAAAGCCAGATGAGACAAATACCATTTAAATACAGTCAATTTGCGATTTAAAATGGAAAGAGTCAATTTGATGGGGGTTAGTTTGATATCACACCATGGTGTACTGTTAGTGGTAAATGCTCTGTGGTCATTGTTTTGTATAAGTTCAATTGCATCATGATAACATGTGGTCTAAGAAGACAAATATCTGCTAATTACCTTGTTTTTAACAACCTGCAATGCAAAAGAGGGTTCACTGTTAAAAGCCTAAATTTTCTACTTGGCAGCATATAGGAAACTGTGGGAAATACAAAGATCTATGTAAAACAATGCTGTTAAAAGAAGAACTGTTGGGCAAAAAATGGACGGTTTCAAATTGTCTTTGAGGACTCCACTACATGTGCGTAAACTTTAACTCTGATTTAAAAGGATCCACTCTAACCTCAAAGGAGCATGAGCGTTTAGCAATGTATATGCCAGGAAATTCTGTACGGATCCAAGAAATGTTTGGAGGGCCTCATCAAGAGCAAACGTTCAGCAATCAAATACCAGTGAGGGGTGTCAGTAATGGTCTTCTGGCTCACTTCTTTTTCTTTCTCGCTGTGTGAGATCCACTGTTTACGTGTTAGGCTCTGCACACTCAGCAAAAAACACCACTTTACAAGAACAGCAAATACACGTAACATCCTTTTATTTTAGGCTACAGTGTCACACAGAAACTGTTTCACAGAACAAAGACAAACTGTAGACACCATTAATACAGTTTACTAAAAAAACAAAACAAAAAAACAAACAAAAAAAACAGACAAAAGACGGCCCATTCACTTTCCTTTGAAATGCTGCACAACAATGTGAAATGTAAATTATGTACAGTCAGAGTTGGGAGGAACCATTCCACCCTGACACCTCACATAGATGTAGTATATGCAGAAGGGGTGGAGAGACGGAGAGGGAAATATATGAGGAGAAGATGAACCGGAGAAGGTGTTTGACCGTGAGAAAGTTAAGTAACTAATAGTATAAAATTGAATCAGTATTGGTCACAAACATAATACTCAGGGGGCTCAATAAGCAGATGTAGACAGCAGAGAAAAGAGGTAAGTTCAAATGTAACGGTATCAAAATAGCCCTGCGCATCGCACTGCGATCCACGCGGTACAAAAATAACCAGGTATTTATCTCACAGTATTGTAGAATGGACTCGTCTAACCAGCAAGTAATGACTTAAATGTAGTACCTCACAATCCAAACAACTGTAACTTTAGTGTATTCACAAGGTAATAATAAAAAAATAGGGGTTAAATATCCAAACTAACAAATCAGATGATGTCTCCAAACAGGAGAGAATAGAGCTGACTGAGGAACAGCGAAAAATACCCCAAAGGAACAAATTCGGTAAACTGCATGTGGGCAGTATGGGTCGTTTCCTCTGGTCTACTGTAAATACGAGTAACAGAAATAACAGTGAGCAGAAACATCACGCGTTCTCCTCACTCTTCCTGCATGCTGTTTCATTACACTCCCCCCCCCCCCCGTTCTCACCAATGAAAACGTTCAGGCTCAGGTCGTTTAGGTAACAGGCATGTCGTGCAAATCTGACAAAAACATGCTTAATGTACATCATCCATGCGCTTATCACTCATCAACCATCCGGCAAAAGCGGAAAAAGAATTGCATTGTTACATGTAAACCTTCCCCACCTCATCCCTCTGCTCTGTATGGTTTTCAAGTTGCTCTCTATAGGTACTTATCTAAGGTCAGTTTTAGCATTTCCTTCACATGGAGGGAGGGACAGAGACAGAATATATAATTCAGACAACGCGGCGAGGGGACATGTGTCAACGCACGGTGTGTTAATTGGACTGCAGATCTGTGCCTGAGCACAAGGCCTCGGTCTCTCCTGAGCATAGTGGGATAAGGGACACTGGGGTGTGTGGTTCAGATGAGTGTCTTTGTGTGTGATAGCAGCACAGTCAGGTGTGCCCCCCCCCACCCCCGCCCGCCCCGGCCCCCTCCAATCACTGTCCTTCCTCCTCACGCAGGAACTGGAAGACGGATGAGAAATCCTTGTTGGCGTAGCCGCGGGAGCACATGACTCTGAAGATCTGATGGGCAAGGGAACCCAAAGGGACGGGTGTCTTTGTGTTGGTGGCTGTGTTCTGGGCCAAACCCAGATCCTTTTAAAAAACAGAGACATGACACAAGAGAGGGAAAGAAAGTCAACGTGGGGGTTTGGCAAAAACCCGTCCAATATAAAAATAAAAAACAAAAATAAATCTCTTTTACCATTATATGACTTCATTTCAGTGCGTGTGATGTTTGTAATAATGCAGAGACTGGCTCATGTTGTAAACCGCTGACTGTACTACTCACAAAAACAGTTTGCAGAGAACAATGCTAATCTAAAGGGAAAGTACTTTTTAATAAACACAAAAGAAAGATAAAAGCAACTGCAAGTTGCCGTTCCCATCGTTCCCATTGTAGTCTATTAAACTGAACATATTTGTTTGATGTGTTGTTTTGCTGGTGGGATTTCATGCCCATTTCGAAGAGAGGGGCTTTACAGGTGGAGTGGGGAAGAATCCTAAGAGGTGTGGTCGTTATCCTGCTGTGAGGGGAAGCCCCATCTGATCCATGCTGAAAGGCTTACCAGCAGATATCTGAGCAGACGTTCATTTTAACCTCTTAAATCAACTTCCTATTTGCTGGTGGATGAACCCTTCTTACAGGCCTAACAGATATCTGAAAGAACATTACAGAATGAGATAAACTGTTGAGACAAAACATCTTGCACCTTGGCCATCAGCGTGGTTCCAAAGCCACCCTGGTAGTTGTTGGCAGACGGGACTCCCTCCATCACTCCAGGAACAGGGTTGTACGAGTCGCTGGACCAGCAACGACCCGAGGACATGTTGAGGATTTTTGCCAGAAGTTTGGGGTCCAAACCCAGCCTGTAACGAAATACACAAAGACTCCTTTAGATCTTTGACCCAGATGCATAAGATTGTGTTAATTTTAGTCCAGGTACAAGCTTGTCATTAAGTTGGGATTACAATTTTGACAATGTTAGCTTATCAAAGTGAGGGTATAATTTCTCAATGAGAGAAGAAACAAGATGGCAAATGGTTGTAATTGTTACATGAAGAGGCATACGATTTCATTTTCAGGCATTTAACATCTTCACATAGATGGGGGAACGAAAAGACAGAAAATGCAGAGAAAGACAGTGGAGCAAGAATTAAAGAGCCAAGACAGAAGTGAGCATCAATTATAGTGTTAATTTTCAAGAGTGTAAAGAAGCAATGTAAAAGAAAAAAAGATGTGTGTGTGTGTGGGGGGGGGGGGGGCTGCTGATTCAAGTGACCCCTACTGAACCTTAAGCCTCCCTGTGACCATTCCTCAGTGTTAATGGCTGAAGGCTTTGTAATGCTGGCTAATGCAGTATTGATGTCCAGCACCAGAACTATCCTTCATCATCCCTCTTTCTGGAGGAAGCAGGAGGAGGAGAAGTGGTTGAGCGGCGCGGGGGAGCCATAAACCTCCCCGTCCCGTTTTTCGGGAGGTGCGCGCGCTCGCCTCTGCTTGCCCCATTTTCGAGGCAACCCACTTTCGTATGCGAGGGGGGACAAACGTCCGGGCGACGGCGCGAAGAGACGCCAGAGGGGAACGGAGCCCAGACAGACGGGAGCAAAGGAGGAAGCCCAGGGCCGAGCCGTTTGCAGCGGGGAGGGCGTAACCCAAGCGCCTGTGTAGTGCAGCTTTTGTGTATTAATGGTTTAAAGGCCACTGTAAAGCTGACCACATCAAGTCCTCGCTGCCTTAAGTTTATTGTTACTTACAGGCCCGTAACTCTATTCTGCTCTCAATATGACGATTAAACCATCATGGGTCCTTAAAGCCAGCAGTCCCCCTCCCTCCTTCTCTCCACCTGGCTTTCATTCCGCCATTACTAGCGCAGTTTTATTAGCTGTCTGCTAACTAATTAAGAATAAGGATTGCATTTACACTCTCTCTGTGTCTCTCCCTCATCCCCCCCCCTCCCCCTTCCTCTCTTACATGTTCTTTCAGACAAATTTTTTTTGGAAATGTGGCATCAGTGACGCTGCGTGCAACTTTTTTTTTTTTTAACAGCAGTCTCCATCATGATGGCTTCTTCTTTCTTTTTTTTAGCTCTGGATGCGTGCCTCGCCATCCTGCTACTTCTCTTTTCCTCCCTCCCCCTCGCCGTCCGTGCTGACACCTCCCTGTCTGACGACTCTTGGGGACATATGTTTGACATCGCGCACAAACCCAACGCCACCCCCATCTAAACTCTCTCTCCACACACACACGCTGGCGTGCGTGCGTGCGTGCAGGCAGGCGGCCCCTCCCTGCGTTCTGGGTCAGCAGCTGAAAAGGTTACTGGCTGAGCTACAATAAAGCGCGTCCGAGCGCGCAGATCGTTTGTTATAGCGACCGGAGACGCTGACGGGGGGCTGTTGTCCTCCGTTAACGATAAATCAATGAAGTTCCCCTCTTGCTCCCTTCACACACTCACACACACACACTCAGCCGTGGTTATTAGCCGACGCAGTGGTGGTGCTCCTCGCCTGTGGTAATTTGCGTGGAGAAGAGGACATGTCACGGTTTAACAAGATTGACATGGATAAACAGACATGGACGGCGAAACAAACGTGTTGCCGTTTCGACTACTGCCGCAGATCCAGGAAAAAAAAAAAGAAAAGGAAAAAAGCTGCTGATAAAATAAGGGTGGGGGGGGGGGGGGGGGGTTTTAGCAGGTGGAGTTCATTTGCAGTGCTGATATTAACTGTCTGCTTCATCATGATTAGCTTCTCCTCCTCATGTGATGCCGCGAGAGAGGAAGTCCAATCCGCTCCTCGTTTATTATTTCATTGAAGAGCTAACGAGCACATGTACACACACAAGGGCGTTTAAAGTCTCGTTTACAGAGGCGACGAGCGTGTTTATCGGGCGCACGCTTTAATCTGCGTCGCAGCATATGCTCACAATTCATTTGAGAGAGGAGGAGAGGTGTTTGCTGTGGTGAGCCTGTTCCCATCAGACGGGCAAAAGGTTTGGGGTCTTGTTCCACACTCTGATTTGTCTGTTCCACCCGCACCCATCCCCCATGAATATTACCAGAGGAGGACATATGTTCATGCTCATACTTTCATATCAATGACTGCCTGAACGTATGCATTGGACTGCTGAGACATGCAAGTATGTAGGCATCTGGGCTTGCAGCACCAGTCGTCTCTCTCCTCCTTTTCCTCACTGTTCATCCTCCTTTCCAATATAAGAAAAAAAATCACTGCTGATCCTCTGCAATGCTCTCAGCTTGACATTTCTGTACGACTGAACGACTACTTGGTTGGATGCAAAAATGACGGCAGAGACAGAAGAAGAATTGAAAAAGAAAATACAATTATAAGTAAAGCAAAAATAGTTTAGGAAGAAATGAAGCCAACGGTGAGGGAAAAAAAAAAAAGGACGTTAAAGACATGGTGCGCATGTGGCTTTGGGAGTGTCTGTGTATGTGTGTGTGTGCTCGTAATTGTCATGCGTGGCCATTCCTTGCACTAAAAGAGCGTCACGCTCTGCTGGAGACGGCCAGAGCTTCCATCTGAGATCAACAAATTAGCTCCATGAACAGAACTGTGTGTGTAAGTTGGTAGGCTTTGTGTGTATGTCACCATGTGGCTCGCGCGCGCGCGCGCACACACACACACACACACACACATATTTGAAGAAAGGGCAGCTCTATCAGACCCAAGTCCAGCATGATAAAATGTTATTGCCGTTTTCCTGTAAATTGGCTGTGAACGCTCAGTCTGCTTTGTGTTGGACTGTGTGTGTGTGTGTGTGTGTGTGTCACATGCGGCCGTGAGTGCGTCCATTCTGCATAAGAGGATGGGCCGCAATGCAGCTCGGGAGATTTACGGGTGTGTTTTCTCTGTAAATGATGACAGACTTTGTCAAGCCCCCTAATAAAGCCCTTGAGATTGTTGAGTAAGAAAAGGGGAAAACATAGGAACGCACACGCAGACACGCGCGCACACACACTCTGCATAGCGTGATGGTTCCATTAACACTGCATATGGGTCAGTTTATCTAAATATGATGATGCTTCACATTCAGAGTGACTGCGTGCTGTTGCAAGTGTTTTTCCACATGAATCCATTTCAATCGCAACGGACGGTGAGGGGCTCTTGTTCTGGTGGAAGACTTCTCTTTTCATTATATCGAGATGTTAACTGGCATCTGTGTGCGCGCATGCACGCCTCAGAGACAGGGTGGTAATGTGTAAATCTGTGTCGCTCTCTTAATGCTTCCATATTTCAGAGGCCTAGTGAGGGGATTTATGTGCCACTGCTCATGCCAATTTTCTTCCTCGGTCTCGGCACAGATAAATCAGCTGCACTAACACAGCTGCACTGTGAAAAGAGCAATTCATTTAAACTCAAGCACACGCAAAACTAGATGCACATACAATTTTAAACAGGTAAAACCCATAAAAACCCATAATAGCGCAACAGTGACGAGAGGAAACCGACTATTATTGACAAGGGATATGCATAAATGGAGTAGAACATAAACTCAGACATCATTCACCTGATAAATGGGCTTACGGTATTCAAAATGCACTTTGCTGACTTTAAAAAAGCAAAGGTTCTTTTTAGACTGTAGTGGTTTCATTCGTAAGACTTCATGTCCCATCATGCCGAGCTACCTGTCAGCCAAAGAACTGAAGAAAGAAGACAACGCATGATGACTAATAGGATTTCACGTCGCGTGTGTTCAGAGACACAGTTGTTTAGTTTCGGGATACAAGGGAGCACTCGATCAGCAGATGCAAAGCAGACTCTGCAGCTCCACCCCCCTCATCCATCTTGGTCTAAAAGAGACGGCTCTGACTTGGGGCACGGCAAACCCCTTTATACCACCATAAACTACTCACATACGCGCTTCTAAACCGGCATTGAACAAGTAAATTGAAGCTACGGCCATATCACTGCTGTAGACTTAAATTTCAGAGTGATGGTTGCATGGCTGAATTAGGGCACAACTAAATGGTAGTACTAGTCTGAAAACCTGTTATCGAGGCTAGTTATTGAGAAGCCTGAGCGTGTGTGAAACGATAAATGAATCCAACATTAATATATTGAAAAACTGGTATTCTCATACACGCCAACCTTTCTATGGAAAGGTTTACCTGTGCCTACTGTTATAATTGTAGCTTACTCATTCTGGAGGCAGTTTCCCCACAACTATTGACCTTTTCCCTGTAAATAAAGCTTGGTTATGCTCTTGAAATGTAAGTTTGCTAACAGGTGAGTGCAGCCTTTCCTTCCAGTACCTGATGCCAAGGTTCATTGTCTCTGCAGTCCCAATCATTCCAATGGCTAGCAGCATATTGTTACAGATCTTAGCAGCCTGCAAGGTTGTGAACAGAGGGAGAAAGAAGGAAAAGATACCCAGATACAGTTTACTATAGAATGCAAACCAACATATTCAGTATATACAAAATAGTTCAAAATTTAGGACACATGAGAATGACATGAGTGATAATGTGACTTCTGAAACGGCACTATTAGACTCTTTATGGTAGACATGCTTGGACGAACTGGATGAAATAACAGTTTTCCTAACTGTGGATGATATAGCAAAACATTTCGGAGATGTGGTAACAGTATACCCAGCCCATGTTGTCAGTTTATTTTCGTGTTCATGCATGTGCCTTTACCTGTCCAGTGCCAACCTGTCCACAGTAAACCACATTGGCTCCCATGCAGGTGAGCAGCTCCTGTGCAGCGTTGTATTCCTCCTCCACTCCACCAACCATGAAAGTCAGCTTGGCCATGTTGGCAGCTCCGACCCCTAAACACATACCACAAGTGGAGGACCTGAATTATTAGAGTCGAGCTTGTTAACACATTCATTTGGCTTAGTAATGCTAAGCCTACTGGGCATCTAAAGCTAAACAGTCAAGCCTACAAAACCAATAATTAAATGGTAGTGTTTAATCAGACTGAAACCCAACTGGAGAAAGTAAATACAACAGCAAAAAAAAAATGTTGCTGCGTGATTGTGTAAAAAGTCAGCTGTGCACCATTGTGCGAGTGCATGTGTCGTGACTCGCACAGTGGGAAACGCGTTTAGTGGCGGTGCACCGGAGAGACAGAGGTATCTTTAAGAGCCGATTGTTGCCCTGATCCACCGCACAGCCCCCGTGGGAACCCTTGCCTTTTGTCTCGTCACCTCTGCTCTTTCACATTCACGCAGACGCACAAACCCACACCCACACACACACACACACACCGACAGCTGTGGCCGAGCCCGGCCTCTCTCATGGGGGTATCAGTGACAGGCGTGTGGGGTAATTAACTTTACACTTTATCATGTTCAATTAGGCATCCCTCCCCATGCCTGATGGCTTAAGGAGCGTGCCATGTTGTAGGAGGTAACATGCCCCCCCCCCCTCCCACTCTCCAGCCTAACCTCTCCACAGGGCCCTTAATGCAGAAATAACAGCTCTTCATAGAAGTTGGCCAGAGCCTCTTATGCAATGAAGTGTCCCCTAAATGCTCCTGTGATCAATGCTGTGACACACAATGAGCTGGGCAACACACATATACATGATGACACATACACACAAAACCGAAACAAATCCAAAAGACATCTCTTTAAAACTGATTTGAGAGGTTATTTCTGGCCGAGATTAAATAGAAAGGCCTTTTTGCCTTGTCGTGTCAAAACCATCACTGTATCTTCACCCAAAAAGCTCAGCTTTTGCAAAAAATGTAACTCACATTGACTGAACAGCTGTCAGCTTATGGACAAGAGTCATGGCCAAAATGAGTCAAATAAATATAATGTATATAGCATTCCCACCTAATCTTTCTCTTGAATGGCCAAAGGGACACGACTTTACTTCTCAGAAAGTTTTGCTCCTGAGGTGACTGATATCTAACCTCCTAAATGGCTTTTAAACCCCTAAGTCACTTGACCCGACGCCAAAGTCACAAAGTTTAGTTGCAGAGTTTAATAAACATTTTCTGTTTCATAATTTCAGAAAACTGCTTCCAGCTTGCTTGACGATAATGAAAGAGTACAGCTCCAGAGAAAGTCACAGAAAGGGGATGAACTTCAAATTTCTCTTTAGGGTGCCATCAAGCTCTGATGAAAAGCTCCTAACTAGTGAAAACCTAATAATGTCAGTGTTAATAATTAAAAGGGAATTACTGGAGACAAAACAGCTGAAAGCACATAATCAAGCTGCACTGCTGAGGACAGGAGAGGAAAATGTTCAGGGTACGTTTCCAGGGGACTTAAACATGAATATACATCTTTTCCCCTCCCCCTAATTTAATTGGCTGTGATGTTGTCAAGAGTATGATGATGCCATTGTGTGTTTCCGTGCATGTTTGTCAGTGATGAGCTGTCAGCGGGTCATTATGGGCCACATAATGAAGCCCGGAGCCCACGCTGCGACAGCTGCCTGTGGGCCACGGCTAACATGCGCTCAGCATAAGGCCACCACGGATACCGATCACACACATATGGTCACTGACACGATAAACACATTTCTTCTAGAAACCTATTTTGGTCACTTTTTACTCTAAAGTCTACTTCAAACCAATATCCAAAACTTTTCTTTGCAACGGTGTTGTTGCAACCTTGAAGAACTGGTAAAAAAACAAAAAAACAAAACAGAAATGGAGCACCACGACAGAGTTGTGATAGTTTGACTCATAGTGGCACTTCTGTGGATTTCTTCCTGCTCCATTTTCCAGTGTTTATGCTGCAGGATGAGCGCGCGGATGCTAATACCAATGCTTTGACACACACAAACGCAGAAGCGTGTGACAACTTTGCAGGTTCATTAGTGGAGATCACTGTTTGCAGACGACCAGAGAGGAGATTATTGATAACATAGTTGACGCGGTGATCAATATATCTCGCTGAAGGAGAGAACGAAAGGGAGGGAGAGAAAGCTAAGAAAGAAAACGATCTTTCTCTTTCTACCTCCCTGCATCCCTCCCTCAAATTAACTAATCACCCATAATAAGCTCTTATGATCTGTAGTGGATTTCTATAAGGAGTGACACCAGGATGATGGAAGATCCTTGTAGGTGGAAGAATAAGACATCATTAGCATAGCGCTGTGTGTGTGAGTAGGCATCTTGCTGTTACTGGCGAGTCTGCTCGCTGTGCACGGGCTGAAGTGTATTTGCGATGTGTGATTTTTCCAGCGGTGTTTGTGCGATTCGTGCACCTCCACAGAGTTGTGCGTGCGTGAGGGGGCGCTCCGTTGTCGGGCCTGTCCTGTCAGAGACGGATTAAAGAGGAATCCTAATGAGGCTTCCTGAGTGCCGGGTATGCCGGCTCATCCATCCCAGCGGGAGTGACAGTCCTGGATCGTTAGCGGTGCACAACTACACAACGCCCCCTAGGGGGGAGGAGACAAGTGTGTGTGTGTGTGCGTGTGTGTGGTGGAAGCTGAGGGGGGCGTCTATATTAGAAGATTCAGGGCAGAGACATGGGGAGGAGATAGAGAAGAAGAGGGAAAACAAGTGGACAGCCACTGGAGGAAGTTGCGTAAGCAACAGTAAAATTATAAAAAATAAATAACTTAGCAATTCCTCTTTAGCCAAATGTACTGCACCACTGTCCCCCTCCTAAAAGAGTCTAAAAAAAAAAATCAAGATTTGATTAAAAAAAAGAAAGAAAGAAAGAAGAAGAGAAATTCTCCAATTGGAAACTTATCCTATGGGCAAAAGCCACGTCTTTCTTTTGTCTCTTGTATTTTCAGGTGAAAAACTGGTTCACTGAGCAGTTGAGCACAACTCCTCACTCTTGAAACCAACTAAAACTCAAACTGCACTGATGATTACTTATCGACCAACAATAAAATGCATCTGTGTGTGTGTGTGTGTGTGTGTGTGTATGCCTGGCGAAAATAAGTTGACCTCAAATACATTTAAGACATGTCCACTTAGAGTCACAAATTTGAAATGAACAAGCAAGTGGTGGAGAGCTATTGGGACAGATGCTTATCATCAGGTTTCAACCCACGGGACACCATCATTGAACATAAGAGAGTGAAGCTGCTCGGGTGAGGGCAGAGGAACGTCGGAATAACAAGTTTGGTTCCGTCTGTTTGTAGTGAGCACCGAGTTCATTAGCACTGCTTTCATTACACACTGACAAATCAACCAAGGCGGTTCATGACAGCCGTCTAACCTTTTAAAACTCGGCTGCCTCTGAAGTGGTGCACGTACAAAGCGGAGACTATGTGCGCAGCATCTGTGAGAGCGCGCCACTGACAGGTGCACGCGTCGAGACGTCAGCTGCAGCTTCTGAGGGCCGTGTGTCGCAGTTACAAGCCGCATGTAAAACACCAGCCACGTTTTATTGGCGGGTAGGTTTGAATTAAACTACATTTGTGGATATGAGGCTCCGCACACATGAGAGGACGCTCGCAGCTCTCGGTAACGGATGACGCATTTGATACCCTACCATCACCCTGCTTTTTAGTCGAGAGATTATGTGGAAAAAAAAAAAAACTTTTGGAGCAAAGCACCACTTGGAAAAATAATTCCACATAACACCTCGTTTAATAAATCAATGACACTGCTCTAAGTGTAAAAGTGCTCGCAGAGGTCTCAGCAGACATAAGATTTTAAATCACACCTTGGAGTCCAAATGTATTTGGTGGTATTTGGTGATAAACTATGCTGTTTGCTGCTTAGTTTTTTAACTATATTTACATTGAAGGATGTCCTGTCCTGGGTTGCTTTGGATCAATGGGAGGCGACGGCCTGGAGTGGGAGCCAACTGGGTAGGCTGTTTACTGGCCAACATCGCAGCCTCGTGTGGTCCACCATTATAATTACACCCAAGGCAGATCTTTTTCTCAAACAAATTAAAACCCAAAACAGGCCCCGTAAAAAAGCACAGCGGATATCGAGTAAATAAGTGAAACGGGACGAGGGCGCGCGCTAACCAAAATCGCTCTCGCAAAAATCAGCACGTTCAACAGTTTTTTCTGCCAACTTTACTAATGCTCCACTGTTGTGTTAAAAACAGACTCTTTATCGGCTGCGTTTAACGAGCGCAGAGCCATGAGAACCGGCTTCGGCACACAAATACTCCATGAGAACCTTGAGCGAGTAGGCCGCTGACCAAAGTTTGGGCTTTTGGTGGAAAAAAAAAAGAAAAGAAAATGAAAGAAAAAAGGAAGACTGTTAACTCTGTTTACAGTGCAATCGCCCCAGGGCTTCTGCTATATAAAACTGTTACTACAGCCTTAAGAGTTTGCAGCATCTACGTATTGACCACAGGGTCAACTCTCACCATCGTCATTATTATCAACATCATCATCATCATCACTAACTGCTGTGTTCCATAGGGGAGCGGCTGGTCAATGGTAAAGCGACAGAGAATGGAAGGGAGCGGGAGAAAGCCACAATCAATCCCATCCATGGCCCAATGAGACTCATCTAGGATAAAGCAAGTTAATAATGATCCCCAATTAGGCTGATAGAGGGCAGGCGAAACACACACACACAGACTTACATTTATTCAGACAGGATGTTAACTCACTTTTCAGATGAGTGACATGCAGTCTGAGGTTGGGGCTATGTTTGACGGACAGAGGCTTTTTTCTGTGCGACCCGTCCACCAGCTGACTATTTGGCAGCACACACACACACACACGCGCAGACAGCAGATGACACTGGGGCAGAGTTGTAAGGTACCAGCCCCCCAGCTGCTCTTAGCCTACTTCCATCTGGAGCATAAGCAGGAGCCCCCACCCCACCACACACACGATTGCCCCTCCATCATTACCGTCCCTTGGTCAGTTTACCCCTGTGCACCCCCCCCACCCGTCCCCGCTATCAACACACTCCACCCCTGTGTCAACGGAGCCTGTCAGAGAGAGGCTTGTTATGCTAATCTCGTCTTTGGACGGCTCTCGCTCTCCCGCACTGGTTAGCTGTGACAAAGTGGGATGGAGCTGCCCCCACCCTGACCAACAGGACTTCTTAGCTCAGTGTTTAAAGTAAAAAAAAAAACTTTTAAAAAACTACTTACAGAATCTGAGGCCCAGCTTCTTAAACAATGAAATGATTAGACTGGATTTGGTGGGAGGTAGTGCAGCCGTGTCTGAGGTAGCTTTCTCAAAAACATCTGAATTGGTTCTCAAGGAGAGAGGGGAGTCATCCGACCGCTTTACGTGGGAAAGTGGCCCCTTAAGCGCTGCTGCATCCCCGCTACATGTCAGTGTTCACACCAACAACCTCCCTGCTGTGGCTCTGCACCAACACGCCTCTGGAAATGTTAACAATTCAATATATTACACAATAGTACAATTCTAAAAAATTGAGTTCTACTATCATGCACTTTTCTCCTGTTTGTTTCACTGTATCACAGCCTTTAAGGTATGAGAAGAGTGGCTCATTAAATAGTTGGGAAGTTCATTCAAAACCATGTCAGTTGCAGGAGAAAACACTATTAGATTTTTTTTATGTACTGTGACCAAAAGGTAAATGTAATAGTTGACGAAATTTTATTATAGCATGGAAAATCTGGGCAGAAATCTCATCAAATACGCATAATCCAAGTGATCTTAGGTATGATTAGTTTTCAGTGAACTGACTTCCATATCTTTTCAGTTTCTTTTTTCGAGGAAGGTCATGTCGGCTCAGAGGGAGAAAGTCTCTCAGGAGCGGAGTGAACTGGCACCGCATTGGCTGACAGACCGAATGGTGCCAGCCTCGGCTTGAACTAGCTCCTACGGGCTGGAGGATGACGTTCAAACTGTCAGCAAATGACACATTGCAAAACCTATGCTGAGTTGATGTGGTGTGGATGTGATTAGAGTGGGGCTGAGACTCAGCCTAAAGACGTAGTTAGCTCAGGAAAATGGGAGCTCACAAACAAGCGACATTGGGATGGAGACTGGCGCTCCCCCGGCAGCAGAAGTCCCTTTAGCTTTCATTTGCACCGATAGCTTACTTTCCCAGCGCTGGGAAAAACACAATGAAAGGTTTTTAGGGCCTTTTTAAAGCCACCGTGCGTTAGCAATGTGGGAGCCCACCATGGGCACACAGACACAAACACAGGCATTCTGGGTAATTACTGCTAACGACCCCGTCGCTTGTTAGACAGCCCTCCTATTTTTGCCGTTGTTGTGCCAACACCCAGGGCCTCTGACATCAGAGCTTGTTTTGTTGTGGGTCAGCTTTGCATGCGGACGCTTTTAATGACACCAGACAGCGGTAGAAGAGTGTGTGTTCGAGTAAATGTTAGCATGCCTAAAAAGAAAACACAGTGTCTAAGTTAATAAAGTAATGTCTATGTAAGAAATTGGTTAGGGTTGAGGTAAGATGTTTAAAAACGACAGTCCTGCAGTGATATGTGTTTGTTTGTGTCAGGGCACAGCTGGTTGAGTAGCTCAGGCCAAGACACACTGGTCACTGTGAGGAATAAAAGCACAACACAATCAGAAAAAGAAGAAGAAAGTGCTTTTTTGAATCTCTTTTTTCAACATGTGACTCTGCAACTCGGATCCCACGGTTGGCTGCCAAACCCAGAGTGACGCACACAACACACAAACAGACACTTCATACGGCGCACAAAAGGATTGATTTTATACGAGAAGAAATTGTACATGAGACAAGAAAAGCAAATCCTGAAACCACAAACGAACAGGCTTCGACTGCAAAGTGTAAGCGGATGGAAGTGGAAGATCAATGTGGGTCTGTCATTTGTATTTCCCCTGGGAAAGTTCAGCCCAAATTTGTCCTAAATATACTGTAGACTCTACTAAGCTCGTATATTAAACATATGTGACTTCACGCCGTGTAAATTTTTTCAATTCACGTGAGGCAGTTTAAAATGACTTCAGTGTTTACTTCATGTGTCATTGAAGAAGAGAAGTCATGAAATTAAGATTATAACATGTTTCTGATCTAGTTCGTTTTTGTCTGCCGTCTTGCCCATGCACACGCGCACACACATACACACATGCGCACACACAAACATATCTAAAGAATGTAACAGAGCCCTGTTTGGGTAGGGTGCCATCTCCTGGTTAGAGCAGGACACGTAAACTCATATACAAGCCAGAGATGGAGAAGGCAGGGCTTGAAGGGAGGGGGGGGTCTAAGAACTTAAAAATTTTCCATTGAGTGCTGGCACACAGGCACACTTTTTCATGACAGCTTTAGCTTATCAGGGTGATTAATAGCTTCTCTTAACTAGCACATAGTAGACTAAGTGGAAATATATGTTTTAAGTTTAACATAAAAAGTCATATGGAATATAAAACCAATATGTTGTTGTGGAATAGTGCATTACTTAAACTGACTGTTAGAATCTACACTTTTTTCCCACTTTTCTGAAAAAGATATTCGACAAAACAAAAGAATATTGTTGACGAGGAATTGGTGGCTGCACGCAGCATGTGTGCAAGCGAGAGCTGGGAGCCTGCAGAGACCAGAGGAAGCAGGTAAATCATTGGCCATCTCAGGCTAGTAAAAGTGGCTTAGTTAAGAGACTGGAGAGGAAGAACCTTCACAGAAGGCTGCACACACAAAAGCTGCGCGCTGTCTGTAGTATGTAAACAGTACATGTGTGAGGGCAGAGTAACAGGCTTACGGCTCTGATCTCCCTCACTGCAGTCGCTCTGTTCTGCTAGACGCCAGCAGGTAAACATACCAGAATGGGCCACGTCTGTGTTTGTATGGAAAACACAGGGCGAATTCAGCATTATTTGAAGGGTAAGCGGCAGAAAACGCAAACGATCTATGATTGGACTGACTTTACCGACTTGACCAAGTGTCAGGGTTTGGAAAACTTTACCTCACACTCTTGAATGAAAAGGACTGTGAGTGGGTGCATGTGTGAAAGAGAGAAAGATAGAGAGAGGATGAGAGATGGACAGTTTTACTGCAGTGTATCCCCTTCATGTCTTATCTCCCTCCTCTTGTCTCCTGCTCTCCATGTGAGGGCAGTTTCTCTCTTCTTTATGGCTCTTTATCTGACATGAAAGGCACTAACATGGGATACCCGCCATTACGGCTCCATCAACATGAAAAGCCCTGACACGGGATTCTCCACTGTGGCTCAGCCCATTAAGGACGACTGGCGATCCTGTGCTCTGTCAAGAAGCCGTCACGAGTAGACAGCGCCGACATAATGAGGACTTAAAACCTTAACCTTGCCTTTAAGACCCCTGGTCAAAAGCAGCAATAAAAACCTCATGAGGGCACCTACTGGCTGGCCCGCTCAGTAATTACAACCCATGTCCGAGCACTAACCCAAAAGGTCCTTTAGTTTAGATATACAAAAAGAGCGTTAAGGCAGTTCAGATCCCAGGCTGAAGGGTCACGGGCTGAACACACTAAAGTCTCTTCCCAAAGGAACAAACTAGCTGTCAAAACCTGCCTTAGAATTTAACACCCCAACCATTAACGTCTCATTTTCTTCTAATCATGTCCCATCAGTGACAGCGTGCTGAAAAAAATAAAAGGTTCCATAACTTAACTCAAAGCAATATAGCAAATTCCTCAGAAAGTGACCCATGGTGCCTTTTAAAAAAGAATTAATTTCTAGGCAAGTTTCTTCTGTCTTGGGGTGTCATAATATGCTTTTTGGATGTCATGGGACTGGTGCCACCTTTGTCATATTTCTGTGTGTGTGTCACCAATAAATGAGATGTCAAAAAGTTTTTATTCTTTTGCAAATATCACAGGCATTTTTCTTTTTTCCAGCAAAGCAGCACCAGACCACATTCTGTGGATTGCAGAAGCAACCATTTGTGTACAAAGAAACCACTGTTCACACTCAATGTAAATGTATCCTTTTCTATTGTTACGATATCAATTGTTCCAAATGTGCTCGGAGACACAACTGCAAAAAGAATAAGGAATGCAAATGCATACATGTATGGATAGATTCTCCAGAGAGGAAGTCTTTGAAGACAATAACAGGCAACAACTGAAGCTCTGCATGACTCCTTACCTCCTGAAACTGGAGCATCCATGAACACAGCGCCCATCTTCTCTGCAGCTACTGCCATTTCCTTAGCTACAGCAGGATCAATTGTAGAGGAGTCAATTAACAGTGTCCCCTTCTTCACTTTCCTATATCAATGCATAGAAAGCACAGTGCTTAGATTTGGTCTTCCTACCCAAAACTCTTTGTTTATAAATGACATTGCATGAACATCATATGAGTCGGAGCCAGAGAAACCTTTTAATGTATAAACACCCGTTTCCAGGGGAAAGTGAACAATGTTTTGAGCTGGACAGAAATAAACAGGAAGAGGTTTGGGGGAATGACTGTAAAGCACACAGGGGGAAGTGTGAGGTTGACCTTAGCAGGTGGAAACTGCTGTTTATATCAGAGGTGGCTCCTTATTTTGTTGACATGTGGAGTGCATGCATCTGTAACAAGGAGAGCCACATACAGGTCGGCAGGAAAGAGAGACTAACAGCTCACACACACTTTCAATGCAAGCACGTCCTGACTATTTGGTGATGCAAATCTCTCTCGTCAGCGCTGAGTTTTTACAAGAGGTCTATTTGGCAAATCCAAAAGGAAAGTCCAAAGCAAGCGGCATGGATATTTGAGATCTCACAAGCCACTTCTCCAAAACACCTCCAGAACATTTCAGGATTCCAGTGTAAGAGGGGCTTACGATAGAAAAAGTGTGCTTACTTGAGGATGCCGTTTGGGCCTGTGTAGACTTCTATTACATTTGGACTGGAGGGCAGCATTGTGATGATGCGGTCTGCTTTCTCTGCCACCTCAGCAGGGGAGTCCATTACCTGAGGATCAGTCACCATCACATTGCGTCGTTAAAACAAAGAAAAGCATCTGTTCATTCAGAGCACTCTCCAAGAAGAATGAGTTAAAAAAATGAAGTGTTTCATCCAGAAACATTTCACACGTTGCCAACAGATTCATACCTGGGCGCCCATGTCCAGCAGCTCTTTGTAAGACTCTGGGAATACATCAGTGGCAATGACAGGATAACCGTTTCTTAACAGATTTTTGGCCATGGGAGTTCCCATGTTTCCCAGACCGATAAATCCCACAGGTGTCTTCGAGGCCATCGATCGTGTTGATACTGATGTGGAAAATTAAGAAATATTAGAAAGGTGACAAAAATCTTAAGTCAGGAGTGGCTTCAGTCACTTTTAAAATAATTCTATTTTAAAAGGTATTATCTGATCTTGTCAAAACAATGAAGGCAAGGTTATTTGCCATGCTACTTTGACAAAAAAACATTTTCAAAAAATCAATAAGAAAGGAAATATGTGGTATTATTGCTCATTGTGCTATGGGTTAGTGCAGTCACAGACAAGTGAAGCTTTACCAAATCTAAGTGGAAATTGGATGTGAACCAATCTGACTACAATAGGATTAGGCCGGGATGCAGATGTCTAAACAGAGAGCTTAGCAAAAATAAGCCAACTCCGCAAACCTGCTCAGAAGACAGTCACGCCAGTGAATATTGCATTATACTTCACTGGCCTAAAATTTGTAAGAAGTCTAATTTGGTCAAGGAATTACTCTGGAAAACTTTGGAAGAAGAAATAGACTGAGATCTCAGTGTTTTCTATGGCATGATAAACCTTATTAGATAAGATTAATGAAGTCGTTGTTTCTTCTGAGTCTATTTTGTAAGACAAAAACTGAGCTCCATAAATGCATTAATCAATTTGGGAATTCCTTTCATTATACAGTTTACAATTTGTTATAAAACGTTACACCATTTCCAGTTAGAAACAACAAGGAAAAGCATACTCATTTCAGAAATAGGTTAAAAAAAATGTTTGCACAACATGTTGACTTAGGCTTTAAAAAGGTGAAGAGAACTTTTAAATGGTTAAATAAACTTAATTTGAATGTCTAATGTTGATAACACAGAAAGGGAAAAAAACGTATTCCTTCTGAGTGGATCATCCCTTGTTTCGTGACAGCAAAGCAACCTGAATCTAATCAATAGTTTTGTGTGGCGATACCTAATACCGCTAATATTTTGAACGACCAAAACTGACTTGCAGAGCCCTATAAAGAGACCTATCTGGTCAATTTAGCTGTCGCTCGTCATACATATTACAAAATGCCCGAGCTACACTCTCAAAGAAAGAACTCATGTACAAATACTGTCCAGACAACAACACTTTATAAACACTAACTACAAATACCAACACTTTCTTCTGAGGGCTAACAAGCTAGCTAACAAACTGGAGTAAGGGGCATTCCGCTTTTTTCTGTATTTGCAATGTCGTGACCAGAGGAGAGTAGCACAAAGCAAAGAAGAAGACCAACGTATACGTTACCAAAGGCAAAGTCGACATGTTTATTCAACCTCAACCATGTATGTCGAGACCCTCTAAACAACGCAGCCATGCTTTTCTCCTCTTGACCTCGGCGTCCGGTGACAGCTGTCAAACCAGGAAAGCTTCGCTGAATTTTTATGATTAACTGTATTTCCCACCAATGGCATGAATGGGCGACTTGGTGTAACCAATAGGAGTGAGGTTAGGGCGGGACATCCTGTGATTTCACATGTAAGTGTCCTTTAGCATTCACTCTCACTGTTAAGAATACCCACTCTGGATGGCAAAATAAATTAATTTAACAGCTTTGATTTATCTAGTAATAACATCCTGTGTTTGCGAACTGCAGATTATTTAAGTATTTAGGCTGTGGTGTCTAACTTAGAAAGAGATTTTAGAATAATAATTACGGGGAAATGTAACGGAATTAGCCAGGCGATTTTATTATTGTGAAGAGTCATCATCGTTAATATTAAAGTAGCAATTGTTGTTTTGGTAATAGTCGTTGGAACTTCTGTTGACCCTCTCACAGCATTTGCAGCATCACGGGTACTGCTCAGCATCCCGGAAGTTCAGCATCATCTTCTCTCTCAGGAAGAGACGTGCTACCGTCTGTGCTTTGACAACATCGGGGACAGTGGAATAAATATTGGTCGATCCGGCTGGAATTTCCTCTTCTCTGCCAGTGGCAGTCACCCGAAAAGGGTAATCTAATGAATCCAAAGCTATATTGACACTTGTCAGGGGTGTATCGCGTGCCAGAGAGCTAGCTGTCCGGCCAGTCTGAGGATTAGCTTGCTAGTGACATGACATGGCCCGTTCACAAGCTAATGTTAGCCTCTTAGCCACCTTTAATAAGATAAACCTGAAGCTAGCCGTGCTAGTTTCCAACGGAGGGGCTGCACCTTTGCTGTTTTTTCGACGTGGTCTCGGTGACCTGTTTTCATAGAGTGCTTAGCTGACTCGATAACGATGCAGCCGTGACCAGGTCGCATATTCACTTTTAAAACAGACGTTTACAAGTTAATTAAGGGCTGGGTCACGAGAGGATGCGGTGGCTCAGGTTTTAATGTTCCACCCTCTTTAGCTTCCATATCATATGACTGGGTGACAGCAGTGAGCCGTGCATATGGGTGTCTGTTCTGTTTAGGTGAGTTTTTCCTCACTCGTTTCCACTCCCAGAGGCTCCCCTTGCCTGCCCCCTATGCAGAGATACTATTTATGAGGGATTGGGAACCCTTTGGAAATGCATTTGCTCTCTCGAATATGACCTAAAACATTGTCCTACTTTAGGATTAGTGTGAGAATCCCTCAACGTTTCAGGTCACGCTGATTATTTCAGGGTTTTGGGTTTGTTCCTTTATAAATAGATATAGTTTGTCGTCCACACTACTACTGTCACTATATAAGGACGTTCTTCATTTTCTTGTTTCTTTTAGAAACAAGAGAGAACAAAGCAAATATGTTCCTCGCTTTCCCATTTTCCAACATAATAATACAGTTAAATAAACACAGTATATGTGGTTCCCTATGTTTACCGTGAAGGTAGTGTCCCTCCCCCTCCGATGAGTTTTGTGCTTTGTTTTTATAAAAGCAAACCATTTATTACCCCATAACAAATTTGGAAGAAGTTTGCTTCTAAAATTCAACTGAATTTTCCAGCGTGAAAAATGTATTTACTCTTCCTCACACAGAGACATACTGTATATACACACTCATAAATGATCAACAGTCCCATCTTATTGCTGTGTGTGTGCATCTGAGAGAGGCACTCTTTCCAACGCTCCGTTTTCCCTTTTTTGTCTCTCCCTCCCTTCCAGACAGATGAAGTGACCCGCTGGATAAAATGTCATCGTTCCAGGTGGTGGACTCATCACCTGGCAGCAGCGTCAGCATCATGGAAACGTCCAACTTTGCCCATGTCATCTTCCAGAATGTCGGGAAGAGTTTCCTACCCCAGGCACCCTTGGAGTGTCGTTACACCCTGACCCCTTACATTACTCCCCACCCCAAAGACTGGGTGGGCATTTTCAAGGTACCACACACACGGATGGCAGCTGCTCCTGCTCAGATCAGGCTTCACAGACAGTTCTGCGAATCCCACTTAACGGCAGACTTTTGTCCGTCTGAGTGATTCATTTTTTTGTCCTACGTTAATCAGAAATGAGAATTTTTCAAGAACCTTTTCAAACGTTTATTTTCGGCTTTTTTTTAAAACTGAAATTACGTGGAAGAGTTTTATTAATTGCCCTTAGGTTCGCACTTGGCAAATTAACGCGCACATCCGCTCTGACACTAATGGCCCAGCTCTTCACAACATGCCAGAAACTGCACCACAAGCTTTGTTGTGGTTAGCCAGCGCTCACAGAGAGGAAGAGTGTACATGGTGGGCTGGCTGCAGTAGGTCTCTCTGGGATGGGGGCAAACATTTGGTGCTCTTTATGAACCACTCTGATTCTTATTAGAACCTCTTTTCCCTCGCTTCCCATATCCCCCCCCCCCCCCATCACCACCACTCTTTCCATCAGCCTCCTCTCTGCTTCCTGCAACCTCTTACCCCCACCCCCCACATGCCCCACTCTTTTATCAAGGCCATCAAATCTCACACGTAATTAACAGGAAATGTGAACTAGGAAACTTAATGTCTCGTAAAGTCAGAAGACAAACATTTTATTGTTGTTTAATAACTGACTTCAAATCCACCCAGCTCAATTAAAAAAGAGTAAAGATGTTAGCTTTATTTGGAAAAAGGCCGATTGGAAAATGCCATTATGGTAATCCGTCCTAATGAAACCTGTTTGATGGTTTTGGCGCCATATGGGAGAAGAAGAATAAAGACAGTCTTTTATCCCTTTGACATTCAAGACTGGACTTTTTTGTGTCAAAAAATCTTACTCGGTAACACGCGGCGATGTCAGATTGGGCCCCGTGTTCTGAGAAGGAACCCGTCCCCCCGTGAACACATAAGGCTCACACACTAAAAACGGGCTTCAGCTTTTCCTTTGACGTTTAAGGCTTTAATTAGAGGACCAACAGGTCTGGGGATTTTTCTAAACCCCAAAAAAAAGAAAGAGCAAAAACCGATTGATTGCATTAAATTTTTCCACCCGTCTTATCTCTAAGGTTTTATATCCTCCCATGGGCCAAATCCCTCTGCAGAGATGACTCAGGCGGGGAATGTTTTCCTCGGCCTTACCTTGCAGATGTGAAGGCATTAGCTTAAAGGCAGAGAGAGAGAGAGAGGCTGAGACACAAGAGCTGCCATGCTGTGAGGATGACTCAGATGGAGGCGGCAGGAGCTGTGCAAAGACACCCCCTAGTGGCCGAAACCCTCCACATAAGGCCGCGGTGGAACACTCCTAGACGGCGCTTACCTCTCTCAAAACTCTCACGAAAAAAGAGGAGGAAGAAAAAAAAAAGCCCAGAGGAAACATGGAGGTTTTTGGTTGTGGCATGTTTGTTGGGTCGGGAGGGAGAAACCCGTTGTGTGAGGCTGTAATTAGAGTGTCATCACGCTGTCCCCTCACACTTTGGCTGGATGATTGATAGCTGCTTTGCCTGTGATTACTTTATAACATCACTCCTGCAGTGGAATGCCACACCGTGCCTCACCATGTGTCAGTCACCTTCACTCTGCAATTAGCAATTATTGATGTCTCCTCTGTCTTCTGCAAATACACCTGAAAAAAAAGAGAGAGAGAGAGAAAGAAAGCAAACTTGGCAGGAAGCCAACTGGAGGTGGAAAGAATGTTCTTGGCCCAGGTTTTCATGTTGACTATTACCATTTGTTTGGGACAGCATTATCCTCTGCATAATGGGGCCGGTGGGAGCAACACTGCAATTACGTTTGGGGCAACGGTGTTATCAAACTTGAACTTTTGACAAATGCTTTGAGGAGCTGGCTTGATTTACTGTCGGGGGCCTCCAAACGCTCCGCTTCGTTCGGAGGTAATCATGATTGTTTTGTTGCTCTCAAAGAAAGCCCAATCACAGCCGGAGCTGCTGATGCTAATTTGAACATTTAATATACAACGGATCATTCCACATGGTGGTTGTGACTTCGATTTCAAATGCAGGGAATTTTTTTTTCCCGCCGTCTGTCTCATGCCTCACCTCGAGCCAGCCGTTTAAGTTGCACATGCTGTGAGCTGGCGGCCGTCCAACAAGTGCAATTGCGTGCTGTTTGGAGTTAGAAAATCAATCCAACTAGGTGGACGCGGCTTCTGTCGACGTGACCGGCCCCGACAGGAAGAAATGTCTGATGCATGGCCTAATTTCCGACATTCCCTCTGCTCTTTAAATCCCCCGTCACCTCGCAGCACCTGAAATCCGGTGGGAATAACATGCTCCTTGCCATTTTGAGTAAAACTTCCACCTTTCCCCCTCGCTTACTCGTATTTTCTCCACTTTTTCCTGTTTCCATGGGAGTCACTTCCAGCCCCCCCCCCCCC